GAGTAAATCTCCGAAACGTCGTTTGTTAATGAAATAAACATTTAAAAAAAAGTCTTACTGTGGTCTATATATTGAACACAAAATAAACTTAAATAGTTGCCTACAAATGTAAGGCTTTAACTAACAAAAACATGGCGGTCAAATAAAATAATATAAAACAAATGTACCACTCGAGTGCGGGCTCCCAATACAGGTAACCAATAGTACTTCATGTAATGTTACAACATTCACCCTATCGTTTAAATGTTAAGTCTATCTGGCGGGCGACGCACCCGCTCAGAGCGTCGTAAAGGTGGATGCTCCTCTACCTTAGAGATGGGCGCCGATTCCGCACGGGAACTGCCTTCAGTTGACACTGGGACTGCTTCCGGCGACACTGGAGCTATTTCAGAGGTTGATGTAGGGGTCGATATCGGAAGCTAAGCTGGCTCTGACAGGACAATCTCTTGCTGGCCTCTGGGAGCCAGGTGCTTTGTGGCAACGGTAGTCTCCCTTCCATCCGGGTAGCGTATATAAACATATTGAGGATTCGCTTGAAGTAGCTCTACCTCGTCGACAAGAGGATCTGTCTTGCTGGCACGGACGTGACGCTTGAGGAAAACGGTGCCAGGTGTGGCTAGCCAAGTGGGTATTTTGTTAGTTAAATTGTTGTGAAGTAAATGACTTTATTTAAACTTAAATAGTTGCCTACAAATGTAAGGCTTTAACAAAAACATGGCGGTCAAATAAAATAATATAAAACAAATGTACCACTCGAGTGCGGGCTCCCAATACAGGTAACCCATAGTACTTCATGTAATGTTACAACATTCACTTTGCCTTAGGCTCAGTGAATATAGGCTTCTAATCACCTCGCCTTCGGCGACTAATTGTAAAATAGAGTGAGATGCCAACAAAATATTGATATTTACCCATAACATATACATGGCAGTTCATGCAATTCGATAAAACAATTCGATTTAAAATCCTGGAAGATCTATCGAATGAAAATTTGGAAGTAATCTGGCTAATACTACTGTAAATCCACCGCGCCTTCCGAGAGGAATATCTAACATTAACCTAGGTATTATTTACCATCCACCTAAAGCCGATAATTCAATGTTAAATTATTTGCACGATTGCCTTGTTAACATCGAAACTCAATTCCCGAGTAGTGGAACTATAATTCTTGACGACTTCAACAAACTGAAAACGTCCAGACTTGAAAACAGTTTTAAACTTAAACAATTGGTTAAATTCCCCACCAGAGGTCAAAACATATTGGATTTAATCTTAACCAATATAGGTAGTTAATACCAAAAGCCGAAGAAACTTTCACCATTTGGTCTTTCAGATCATGCGACCATTGAAATCCAACCCCTAAGTCGTTCTGAGTTTCCAAAAGTATCAATTAAAACAAAATCATGGGATCTAAGACCAACTATTCGGCTGGCTTTAAGAAAATACCTGGTAGAGGTAGACGTTCCAACCCTTATCAGAGCTAAGGCTTGCTGTGAAGATAAAGCCAATACATTAGAATTAATTATTACCTATGGCCTAAATACCATTCTTCCAATGAGATCAAAACTTAAAATATCGAACGAGCCCCCTTGGATCACTCAGAAACTGAAACATCTTATCCGCAGATATCTTTAGCACAAGGGAATTTGATATCATTCCGCCGTCTCAGAAATCATGTTAATCGCGAAAGAAAGACCTGCCGCTCAAAGTTTTACGAACCTGAAGTCAAATAATTGAATGGGAGTGCCCCAGCAAAGTGGTGGAAGGAAATAAAGAAACTTAGTGGAATGACGGAACAATTCGCAACCCCCGAAGATATTATATCCCAACTGCATAATGTGGAATTTAGATCGACTAATTCGACGTCTTGTGACCCCGACCATCACCAATTCGCCAACTTGATAAATAAAGCATTTCTGGCACCGACGAAAGCCTTCAATCCCCCTACCTCCAAATAGTCCGCAACGAAATGTCGACGAAGATACAACAAATTTCCAATTACCGAATTTCAGGTCTTTAAAAGCTTATCAACCTTGAAAGTAAATCCATGGGACCAGATGGCATCCCTGGTTGGGTTCTTAAAGAAAACGCGGATATTTTAGCACAACCCATTGCGGACATTATTGATAAATCATACAGCGAGACCCATCTCCCATTATCGTGGAAGTCCGCAGATGTTGTACCAATCCCGAAGGAAAAAATAGTGCGTGATGTAAACCGTCATCTGCGACCCATTTCCCTAACCCCGAGGACTATGTTGTAGACTGTTTTGTCAAACCGGTTGTACTTAAAAAAGTAGATCCCAATCAGTACAGAACGATTCCTAAGTCAAGCACCATCCATGCCCTCGTAAGCATGCTTCATTCTTGGAGCGGATCAACAGATGGAAGTGGCGGATCAACTAGAGTGATGCTGTTTGACTTTAGAAAGGCCTTCGACCTGATTGACCATCACCTATTACTTCAGAAACTAAAAACATACGATCTACCTCCATGGACAGTTGATTGGATAAAAGACTTTTTGACCTGCAGAAAACAGCGGGTCAAACTGAACCATGATTGTTATTCTGAATGGGAACCAGTTACAGCAGGTGTCCCCCAAGGAACAAACTTGGCCCATGGCTATTCACAATAATGATTAACGGCTTAGTGATTCCCACATCTGATATGTGGAAGTTTGCCGACGATTCAACTTTATCGGAAGCAATTAAAAAAGGAGATACAAGTTACATTCAAAATGAAGTTGATCAATTCACTATCCAAGCAAAAGCTAATAAATTCCAAGCAAATGAGAGAAAGTGCAAAGAACTACGTATTGGATTTAATCGGAATACACCGCAATTTGACCCTATCCTAATTAATAACAACCCTATCGAAGTCGTTGAATGCATGTGTAAAACTCCTTGGTCTCTATGTTTCCAATAACCTGAAGTGGAATAATCATATTCACGAAATTATCAAAAAAGCGCAGAAAGACTGTTGTTCTTCCTAAGCCAATTAAAAAATCTAATATCGGAATCACGGAACTAGTTCAATTCTATACTGTTTGCGTCCGACCAATTTTGGGGTATGCATCCCCAGTCTTCCACGACAGTCTAACCGCCTATCTATCAAACGATCTCGAAATGATACAAAAAAAAGCTCTGAGGATAATATTCCCTTGGGTCCCATATGATGAGGCACTTAGTGTTGCCGGTCTTCAGCAACTAAGTGCACGAAGACATAGATTTACTGACAAACTTTTCCATGAAATATAATCTTGCCATAGATTGCATAACTTACTACCTCGTCGTAAATTGAACCATTTTAGTCTAAGAACAAAACACAAATTTAATGTTAACTTCCAGACAGAACGACATAGGAAAACGTTTATTGTACATAATTCATTAAAATCAATTAAATTTAAAGTATTTATTAGTCTAATACACCATGCAATAGCGATTGAGGCTTATTTTTTTAATAGTTAACACAATTCAGCCCATGGGCTGCAAAGTTAATTTTAATAAAACTATCTATAACGCTTCAAATCATGTTAAGATACGTTTACACGCTGCGATTTGTCCGGCGTGTGCGATTCGCATTCTAGCGTATGAAAGTTACTGCTGACGCCACAATATCTCTTTATTTTACGTACACGACAAATCGCAGCGTACAAACGTACCTAATTTATATATGTGGTTCGTTTATTGTTCGTAAGGTCAAAGTGACAGTTCTTGCCTTATTTGTATGGCGCGCCTTGCTAGAATTGAAGCAATTATTGTTATCGGTTTAATTCAGTCAAGTGTTTCTCTTCGGAATAAAACTCCTACCGCACATTAGGCTTCCTATACATCCATGTGTACACATCTTTGAAATCGGAAATCAGATAAAGAATATTTCTGTAAACTTAAAGTCCATTAATTTACTTTAAGCGGTTTGATTTTAACACCGCAAGGACAAAACACTGAAATTATTCGTTTTCTCTATTTATATAGGAATTTATACTCGAGTTCGTAGTTGCTTAAAATGGTGGTGAGTAGATTGTATGTAATGCTAACCAGTAGAGATTTATTTTATGAACTGAAATTCGTTGTGCACATTAAAAAAGATTGTTTGATTTCTTCATTTGTGTAAAGCTTCCATTAACGTTTAAGCCTGGTTTCCATATAGACCATATAGTCGTAAACTCGTAATGATCGTTTCCAGTTTTTAATAGTTTATACCTGTAAACCACATATGAATCGTAAGTATTCTCTATATATAGTCATAATTACTCCGCGTATTTTCAGTTCTAAAATGTTCAATCAAAATTACTAGAAGATGAGCTGCGCAAGGTGCTTACAACGAGTAAAATTTTTCGCATCTTAATTAAGTTGTAGATGGGAAACCATTCCAGTTTGCGGAACAGATCAACAGGAGTTGGCATACTGTCGTCCAAAGCCAATCTGGCTGCTGTTTTTTAAAGTTTAAGCAAAGGGTCGATAAGTTCATGGCGTGCATTGCCCCAAATAGTGATGCCATAAAGTAAATGGGTGTAGATAAAAGCATGGTAGAACTTAATTCTACATTTCAGTGGAAGGGCTGGGCAAATACGCTTAAACAGATAAAGCCTGGAATTAAGGTATTTATATATCTTATCCACTTGGTTGTCTCAGGAGAGATTTTTATCGATGAAGATACGTAAAAGTTTGCCAGAAGTAATTTCTTCAATCCAAAAATCCTCATAAAGTATGCTATCATAATCAAGCAGTGAATACTTACGATTTGAATAAATTTTCATGAATTTGGTTTTGCTAAAATTTAGAGCCATATGGTTGCTTCTTGCCCAATTAGAGGTATTACACAAATCAGTCGACAAAGAAGATTTGATATCAGGTAGCTCACAGCCATGGACTAAAAGAGTCGAGTCATCCGCGAAAAGAGAAGGATGAGAGGTAGTAAGAAAAGATGGAAGATCATTGATAAATATTAAGAATAGTAACGGACCAAGAATGAAACCTTGAGGGACCCCAGTAATGATTGTTAAAGTTCTGAAAAGACTTCGTTAATTTGTACCTGTCGAGTTCGTCTTTCAAGATACCAGGCGAACCATTTTAGGGTTAGGTCAGTAGCCCCGTACACGTGGATTTTTTGGAGCAAAATATTATGATCCACTAAATCGAAGGCTTTGGAAAAGTCAAGCATCAAAACACCGTTAATTTCTCCATCATCAATACTACCAGGTCTTAACCCATGTTGGTAATCGGATAGAGTTAAATATAAAAAATATGAATGTTTTTCAAGGATTTTTGAGAGAATAACCAGGATAGAAATTGGCCTAAGGTTGCCTCTTTCACTCATTTCGCCAGATTTGTGTATTGGGATTAATTTTGCTTTTTTCCACAAGGCTGGAAAAATACCTGTGCTGATGCTTAAGTTGCATATGGTGGTAACAGTATTGGAGATCATGTTCGCAGGGAACTTTAGGAAGAGGGCGGGGAGAAGACCATCAATTCCTGTCGCTTTAGAGGGGTTCAATTGTTTCAGGGAATCAGAAACCTCCTCAATAGTAATAGCGGGGATACTAAATTTAGTTTGCCTAACAGGAAGCGAGAAGGCTGACTGACTGTAGTCAACAGCCTCACTCATGTCAAAGGTTTCTAGGTTGTCATATCTCACATTATCAATAACTAAAGATAGAGGGGGAGGAGCCTTATTAAGATTTATAGTTGATTTCAAAACTCGCAAAATTTGTTTAGAATTCGTAGAATTGTCATTAAGAAGTGTTTTTATATAGAGTTTTTTGCATTCCTGATTAAGTGTACATACCTATTGCGCCAAGTCTTATATTGAGACCAATTAGTATTGTGAGCATCATCTGAACTTGATTTATTGCATCGCCATTGATTCGAATTTTGTTATCAATCTTCGATTCTGAGATCTCCAAATCGAGTTTTAAGCCCTCGAATTCAGTCGACAATTCATTACACCTGCTTGCACAATGCTCTCCGTTCTGATTAGGTTATTGAGGAATTCGTTATCCGTTTGAATGCCTACTTCACATGTATTTACTCTACAAAGATGATCGGTGGAACGGCGCTTGGCTGGAGTAGATTCGTGATAAAAAATTTTCATTAATGTGTTCATTTGTTTGAGGACTGACTTTATTTCCATCATATCTAACGAGAAACGGCTGCAAGCCATGCAATCTTTGTCACCTTCTGGATCGTTTAATTGATTGTATTCGTCAGGATCTGATATTTTATTTACACTCAGATCAATCATTTGTTGCGCTTTTCTGAAGAACTAACGATATAAACATATTTAATTTCCGAAACACATAACACAAACAAGATCGCTAAAAATGGTGTTATTATATTATTATTATTATTATTATTATTATTATTATTATAACTCATTTATATAGCGCCATTTCCCATAGCTCAATAGCGCTTAACATTAAGTGTTAAAAATATATACTAAGTGTTAGAACATAGTACATGCATTACTAAAAAATTAATTATATGCTCTTCTCATTAAGAATATAAAATTACTTTATGTTATGTATGTTGATAATATTAAAACAGCAACTATATAGAATACTATAAAACTTAGTCATAATACTGTTTAAAAAGATGTGTCTTTAATCTGGTTTTAAAAATAGGCAAGGTCTCACTCTTTCTAATATACTCTGGCAGTTCGTTCCACAGTTTCGGTGCAGCATATGAGAACGATTGTTCACCATAGTTCACTAGTTTTACTGAGGGTATGGTAAGCAATCCTTTGGACGAGGAACGTAAATTTGCTGATAATGTGTAAGGTTTTAGTATATTATTAATATAATTTGGAGCTGAGCCATTCAGCGATTTATACGTAATAAGAACAATTTTATAGATGATGCGTTGACTGATGGGGAACCAATGTAATTGTTTCATTAATGGAGTAATATGATCGTATTTTTTGCTTCCTGTCACCAGTCGAGCAGCACAGTTTTGCACATTCTGTAACCGACCAATAAGAAATTTAGGCAATCCGTATAATAAAGAATTACAATTATCCAGTTTCGATGTAATAAAGGCATGAACTAAAGTTTGGATATCTGACGTTGATAAGTACTCTTTTATTCTTGCTATTTTTCTCAAATGTAAAAAACAGTTCTTGCAAATATTAGTAACATGTTTATCCATAGACATGTGGTGGTCGAAAGGTTACACCAATGTTTCGTGCTGAAGTACTTGGGTGAATTCTTGAATTAGATACTTCTATATATTCTACAGCAGGGCATGGACGATTTTGTGCATTGATTACTAGTAGTTCAGTCTTGCTCCCATTCAATTTCAATTTATTTTTGACCATCCACAAATCAATCTCTTTCACACACATTTCAATTTGTGCCAGTGCTCCCAATTTTCCCTCAATGGTTGACTCAAAAGCGAGATATAATTGCGAGTCATCTGCATAAAAGTGAAAATCAAGACCATGACCTCTGATGATATCACCAAGGAGTGAAGTGTATAATAAATATAGTATAGGGTCGAGAACTGATCCTTGTGGGACTCCACAGCGCAAGTCTTTAGAGATTTAACACCGTCAATCACTACACTTTGCGTTCTATTTTGAAGATAGGACTGAAACCATTTCAACACTTACTCATCTATCCCAAATCTTTTGAACATTCGTTGTAGTAAAAGTTCGCGATCAACAGTATCGAATGCTGCTGACATATCTAGTAATAGCAACACCACACACTTACGATTATCAATGGCTACAAGAATATCGTTTTGTACTTTTAATAGGGTTGTTTCTGCACTATGAAAACGTTTATATGCCGACTGGAAGGGTTCTTCTAAGTTGTTATTAGCCAGAAGCTGACTGGCAGCAACCTTCTCAATTACTTTAGACAGGAATTTTAAATTTGAAATAGGTCGGAAATTTGTGTATTCTTCGTATTCCATACGTCTAGCATCGTCTTAATTACTTCGCAAATTTCTTGCTAATTTCGCCCTGGCATTTAAAACTTTAGGATATATATCCACCATGAGCTACTCATGAGAACACTAGCATTCGTTACCGACATGAAAAATCAACTTTCAAGAGATGTGAAATATTAAACGTAAACAATAATGCAAGTATTCTGGCACGTGCCGGGGATTGATAATCTCAGGGGAAAACCGTATTAACTATAATGTCTTGTCATGCATATAGGTTTACATACGGTCCATACGCTGTACTCGTTTTTTTACATATGAGCGAAAAACATCGTTTTTTGCCCGTATAAGTTAATTAATAGGAAGAGTGTGTTTTAAGCCTTCCTTATTAACATAATCAGCGCAATCGCAAATTCAAACTTGCGCATACATGTCATAAAAAATTTTATCTTTGTGAAAAAGCGAGTTACGTTTTTGCTCATATGTTGAAAAAATACAGCGCATAAGTAAACGAGGAAAATTTCCTTGTTCCTGTACTTCTGCACTATTAAATTCTTTGCGTTGTCCTCATCAGATCGCCTGCATTTCAGCATTTGCATTCCGATATTATAGTTAATACGGTTTTCCCGTGAGATTATCAAATATCACATTACCAAAGGACGTGTATTATTATTTACGTTTAATATTTCGCATCTCTTGAATGTTGATCTCTCATGTCGGTACGAATGCATATATGCTAATGTTTCAAGTCTGTCTAGAAGGGTCATCTTTTAAAAATCGTGTCAGGGCGAAATTAGCAAGAAATTTGCGAAGCAATTTAGACGATGCTAGACATATTTGACATGTTATGTCCTTTTCGCGACTTGAGCCGCATAATAACACAATTTTTTTTATTATTATTATTAAATTGAAACCACATTGCAGCCAGAAGCTGAATTGCGTGGATTACATATTATCACATGCACTACATATAAATATATTATTAATACAATATTATAAAACCCACCCTCGATCAAAATTCGATTA